AGTCACGGTGACTTTTATAAATATAGCTCCATTTTTAAATAGCCATCTGCTTCCTCTTTTTTTTTTAGTTTTTTAGTCTTTTTGTCTCTTTTGCTCCCTACATTATACAACTTCTTTAAGTCATAAGGAACAGAAACCTTATTTTCATTTTTAACATTGAGGAGATTCTCACTTTGAGGTAGGTGCTCATAGTGTCAGGTGAGGTGGGTAGCTCAGAGTCCCTCCCCTAAATTAGAGACTTTCACATCTCGGTCACCCCTAAAGGTGGAGGTCTCCAGTGCTCTGGTTAAGGGCTGAGCAGAGGGACCAGCAGGTTTGAGCACCTTTGACTGACAGAATGAGTGCAGATGTGTCTCTGTTAAGAATCGCTGTGTCCTGATCAAGGAGGGCAGGTGAGCTCAGTGTGATTCCACACGCTCCTTTGCTAGAAAGGCTTCCTGGTGTGTCATATCAGGAATTGGCAAGAAACAGGAGCCATAGATCCCAGCTATGAGGTCACATTCATAGAGGTTATTTAGTGACAGCAATTTGCCCAACATGTAGTGCTGATGAGGCTAAGGGTCCCATCCCAAAGGTACCAGTGAACTAAATGCAAAGCTAGAGCCAGTCTACCCCATCATCTCATGCCACCCACCGTGGTCGAGTGGATTCTGACTCATAGTGACCCTATAGGACAAAGTAGAACTGCCCCACAGGGTTTCTGAGGCTGTCAATCTTTATGGAAGTAGACTGTCACATCTTTTCCCACAGACAACCAGTCGTCAGCTGAACGCTTTGACTACTGTGCCACCAGCACTCCATTCATCACATGTAAATACACGCCAAGACATCAGAGCGTTCAGCTCAGGGCAACCCACCACCATCTTTTCTATCTCTAAAAGTCTATAGTTGACAGTATTTGGTAAAAAAGTGTTCAACCACCAAATGCCCACTTACGCAAAATGTACCTCTTCCATTCAGTTACCTAAGAAATGTGAAAAGAGTATTGACTTTGAAGTCAACAAACCCAGCTTCAATTCATGCTTGTGTGACCTTGTGCAAGTAACATACGTTTTCTAAGTCTCAGTTTCCTCATCTATAATATTGGGAAATACTTGGGTGTCACCTCTGGAGGGCACGGGTCAGGACTCAAGAAATAGTTTCCTAAGAAGATCCATGGGTGGTTCATTGTGCTGATGACTTTACTGGGGACAGGGTCAGACACAATAGAGAGCTCACCTATTGGCCCAGAGAGAGACCCACATCAGCCAGACAAAAAAAGACAGACGAATAAACCAGAATGCCATCTGCTTAGTTGGCCATGAGAAATTATTTGCAGTACTCAAGTGGGTGGCACTTTTTCTCCAGATCTGCAGCTATCTTTGAGAAGTGAAATGATAATTAGAAGACTGCTTGCTATCAGGCAAGGGGGCCTGGTGGCCTGGGAAAGACCTGCAGGGACATGTTTGGATGGTCACGGACAAGGTTTCTCTCTGTCCCTCAGGATGAGTTTATATATCCTTTGCTTTGTTTCTTTACATATCTGTGTTTCTGAGGACATTTCCTCGCTTCCATGGGGGTGGAAGGCTCACCTCAGTCCCTAAAATATTAACTAACACTAAAGAGAAGCTCTGGTAGCGTAGTGCCTAAGGCACTTGACTGCTAACCAGAAGGCTGGGCAATCTACTTCCGTAGTGATACCACCTCAGAAACCCAAGGAGGGGTTGCTATGAGTCAGGTCCGACTTGACGGCACATTGCAACAACAACAAAGAGAACAACACTTTCCTCATCGGTGTATCCTTCTCCTCAGCTAGTGGGGGTAGGGACTTTCTTTTCATAGCCTGTGAAAATCCAAAGCCTATCCCAGCTTTCACCAACCCTTTGGGACATTTGTGTTCTCAAGACCTCATTTTTCTCCTGCTTCTTCATGGTCTCTGCTTAGCATTATGTCAGTCCAGACAGGAATCACAGCTTCTTCACCAGTATCCACATACACAAACACACATCCCCAAATCCCACTCAAGAAAAGTAGACTTTTCTAAAGAGCTAAGGAGGCAGAGAGAAGTCACAGGAAGGATTCTCTCTCTCTCTCTCTCTCTCTCTCTCTCACACACACACACACACACACACACTACAACAAACTATTTAAAAATCCACATGTGGCATTGTATTCTTCTAAAGTCCCTTCTGACCACCCTGACCCCCGGCGCTGCTGTGCGGGGCCATCCCACAGACAGCCCCCGGGCGCACTTCCTCCCGGTCTTGTCTCCCCCCTTGGTTCTCCTGGTCACCCCTCCACCTCCAGAGCATCTGGCAAGTTCCTCTCAAGTTGACTCATGCACAGAGGGTCTGCCCCCACCCTGGAACCTCCTCCACAGCTCATACCCAGCCTTAGGATTTCATCTTCCAACACTGACCAAAGGCATTTTTCCAACAAAGATAGTTCCTTGCTACAATGAATTTTGGAGCCCTCTGTTAATAAAATTATTTCCTACTTCATTGTAACATCCTGAAATAGAAGTTCAATAAATAATTGTCCATCGATTCTCTTGTTGATCAACAATTATTAGGTCATGACCATGGTGTTTCTGCTCCTCTCCAAATCCCTTTCTCGTTGAGGGGGCACTTTCAAATAAAATTCCCTGTTACCCGTATTTCCCTCACAAGTACAGGCTTTCAAAGACTGTCCAGTGCCAAATACTGCTCCTCAATGTGCTAGATGCATGATCTTGTGCAAATTACTTACTTCTCTGGATTCAGTTTCTCCACCTGTAAAATGGGGTGATAGACTAGCTCATAGACTTTTTGTGGGGATTAAATTAATTCATTTATGTTAAATGTGACTTAGTAAACAAGAAGCGCTCAGTAAATGTTAGCTGCTACTTTTTTCTTTTTTTTCTTTATAGTTCCTATCTCCTGGAGTAGTCTGACTTTATCAAAGTCAAAGAAAAGAGAGTTTACGCTTTAATTAGCCAGTCATTAGCCAGAGATAAGATTGTCACCATATCTTGAAGATGCAGGGCCAGGGCTCAACTTGGTTCAAGGAGTACCCCCTCCTGGTAACCCGGGCCACAGAGGATGGCGGGACACTAACTCAGCTGGGTCCTGCATCCAGAGATGGAGACAGGAGTGAAGATATGAGGACAATATAATCTAGCCCAGGGCAGTCTAAACTGGGAGAGACACCAACTGGCCTGGCTCTAGGTCATTTCCAGGCTCGGGATTCAGGTCTTAAGAAAGGATTAACTAGCATCACGATAACTACTCAGCTCCCACTAGATGGGTATTATCTCAGACACCCGTTAAATATTCCTGGTTTGATGAGAGCATAGGAAGAACTGAGATGCCATAGTTCCTTCCAGAGAAGACAAATACTGCCCCCTAGTGGTTTCAGCTCCCAAAATAGATAGACCCCTTGATCAAGTAGCCAAAGTCGTCTGTTTGGTTCAGGCTGTTACTCTCATGGCCATATCTGACTGCTGAATGCCACCTTCGCCCATAGGTCACCCAACCCCTGAAGCCTCCGTCCCTCACAGGAACAGGCTGGTTGGACTGCTTTGCTGTGGCCTCTGGAAGAACAGGGTCAGGAATGGAGTGGGAGAGCCAGGCATGGGCTGGATGAAACCAGTACCTCCCAAGGTGGGCTAGGTGAGGGGGAGAAAGAGGAAAACGAGGAAGCTTTGAGGGTTTGCCAGGCCAGCTCCACAGGGCACACCTCGGGAAGAAGGGAGATACTAGGTGGGTCTTTCTCTTTGCAGAAGGCAGAGCTGTTTATCCATCAGGGACAGGAAGGAGGAGAGAAGAGGTAATAGGCTGCCTACAAACTACTCATAGTCTCTGGGTGGAGAAAACAGTTCATGGGCTCGGCTGCTAACTGAAAGGCTGGGGTTCACGCCCACTGTGGCACCTTGGAAGACAGGCCTGGCGCTCAATCTTCACAAAAACTAGCCATTGAAACTCTATGGGGCAGTTCCACTCTGACACACGTGAGGCTGCCAGGGCTGGGAATCAACTTGACAACAACCGCTTTTTTCGATTCCGACTCACAGCGACCCCTCCTTGGGTTTCCGAGGCAGTATCTCTACAGAAGTAGACTGCCCAGTCTTCCTTCCGAGGACTGGCTGGTGGGTTTGAACCGCCAGCCTTCTGGTTAGCAGTCAGATGCCTTAGGCACTACACCACCAGATACCTACTCCAAATTCTCTGCAGTCCAGGCTCTGCTCCTAAGACAGCATTATCCCTTTGGCTTTTAAAACTCTCCCTGCAGGCTTGAGTGTCCCTTTTGTAACTTTCTGCTTGTTCACGCTGCTTTGGCTGTGTTGGGGTGGGCAGTGGGGGAAGGGGGAGAGAGGCTGTGTTCTGACCTCAGTCCCTTGGGGTGCTCTGGAGAAGGGTCGCATTCTTAGTGCATTTTCATCCCTGTAGCACCCATTGCCCTGGACCTCCTCGCAGAAGTGTGCACTTAAAGGGGAAAGCAAGGCTGCCTGGGAGAGCAGAGGTCTCAGCACAGCCACGCCCATGAGTGAGAAGCAGAAAGGGGTCGCAGGGACTGTGTCCAGGACAAGAAGACCTGTGATCTGTCCTTTCCATGGGGCTCTACCCCTAGGCCAGTTTTCTCATCTGGAGGGACATCTCCGGCTGAGTGGACTTCCTCTCTCCTGCCAGCCCTACAGGCGCTGAGGTCCATGCTGCAGCGAACCTTATGCAAGTGCATCAAACAGGACCCCTCCCAGAAGCCTTAGCCTTGGAGGGAAGCGCTGGGCCTAGCTGCTCCGGAGGAGTTGTCACTTCTCTCACAGTCTGTGGTTTCCAACGCCCTGTGCGGAGGGGTCTCTGTCACTTTCAAATCCAGCAAATACAAGCTCACACCCCAGCCCTTGTCCCAGGTGGAAGCCAAGACATTCCACTCCTCGTTCCAAACCAGCCTTCCTGGGGTAACAGAATTTGGAAACGCTCCCTGGGCCTGTTCCAAAGGTTGCCTTCCACCTGGGTCTCGGCCCCTGCAGTGACAAGCCCTAGGGAAGGGTTCCCAGCGACCGCAGGCGGCCCGGGCATGCCTGGCTGCGGGGAAATTCGGCCGTCAGGCGGCCGCGCTCGCCAGGGCAGCGTGACGCAGCGGCCAGAGGCTTGGGGGCTCCGGAAAGAGACTCGTCTCGGGATCCCCTGCACCTGGCTTCCCCGGGCTGTCGCCAGCGCTTGTGGGCGGGCGGGCACCGCAGCGGGGGCGGAGCGCGGCCTTTTCTGGCCGGGGGAGGAGTGGCCGCGGCCCGGGAGGTCCTCACTCCGCAGCTGGGCTGGCTGCTCTCCCACGCGCCGCGCGTCTGGGCGCCCGGGTTCCGCTCGCCCCTCTCCTCCAGCCGCAGGACGCACGGCGCGCTCTCGCGCTCTCGGGCTGAGCTCGGCTCTCGCTCTTGGTAGCAGCTGAAGTTTGGGGCCTCTCCCAGGCGCTGCCACGAGCAAGTCCCTCCGTCCACCTCTCAGAGGGGCCGTATGAGCCCCGAGGGCTCCTGCCCGTGGATGGGCCACCTGCGTCGCCTCCAGGTGAGGACCTGGATTGAGCCGGTGGTGGCCTCGTCCCAGGTGGCCGCCTCCCTCTACGACGCGGGGCTGCTGCTGGTGGTGAAGGCGCACTACGGAGCCGGAGCCGCCTCCAACCACAGCGCAGGCCCGTCGCCCCGCGGGGTCCTGGAGGACCAACAGCAGAGGGCCATCTCCAATTTCTACATCATCTACAACCTCGTGGTGGGCCTGACGCCCCTGCTGTTCGCCTACGGGCTGGGCTGGCTCAGCGACCGCTACCACCGCAAGATCTCCATCTGCGTGTCTCTGCTGGGCTTCCTCCTCTCCCGCCTCGGGCTGCTGCTCAAGGTGCTGCTGGACTGGCCCCTCGAGGTGATGTACGGGGCGGCGGCGCTCAACGGGCTGTGCGGCGGCTTCTCGGCGTTCTGGGCCGGGGTCATGGCCCTGGGGTCCCTCGGCTCCTCCGAGGGCCGCCGCTCCGTGCGCCTCATCGTTCTGGACCTCATCCTGGGCCTGGCTGGCTTCTGCGGGAGCATGGCCTCCGGGCACCTCTTCAAGCAGATCGTTGGGCGCTCCAGGCAGGGCCTGGTGCTGGCGGCTTGCAGCGTGAGCTGCGCCACGTTCAGCCTTTGCTACAGCTTGCTGGTGCTGAAGGTCCCGGAGTCGGTGGCCAAATCCAGCAGGGCGCTTACCACCATGGACACGGTGTCTGGCGTGGTTGGCACATACCGCACCCTGGATCCTGATCAGCTGGAGAAGCACAGTGTGGTAGGACACCCTCCGAGGCCTGGAAAAGCAAAGCCCCAAAAGGCCATCATTGCCCTGCTCTTTGTGGGTGCCATCTTATATGACCTGGCAGTGGTGGGCACAGTGGACGTGATGCCACTTTTTATGCTGAGGGAGCCTCTCAGTTGGAACCAAGTCCAGGTGGGCTATGGCATGGCTGCCGGGTACACCATCTTCATCACCAGTTTCCTGGGCGTCTTGATCTTCTCCCGCTGCCTCCGGGACACCACTATGATCATGATTGGGATGGTCTCCTTTGGGTCTGGAGCCCTTCTCTTGGCCTTTGTGAGAAAGACATACATGTTCTACATTGGTGAGTCTGGCATTCTTGGGAGGCAGGCCACTGCTGGCCCCCTGCCTCACCTGGCCGGCACCAGGGCTTCCACGGTCCGGGTGGCCCAGCTCAGCACCAGCCACTGTACCTGCTACCTAGAAGCTACTGGGGAACCAGGGTTATGTGCACTCGAGTTTCTCTCTTCCCAGGTGTTGCTGGTTAAAATGTCACCACAATGGTGCCCACAGCTCTAGGAGGTCAAGGGAGGCTGCAGTGGTCAGTAAAGGCGTCTTCAGGATGCCCTTGGAAGAAGGAGGAGATTGGGTTGAGTGTCTTCTTCCCAATTTTAAAGGGATAAAACATTAAGGAATCTTGCTGAAAGGTCCCATTACTTAAAATCATCTTGGGCCAAGCAAAGATTTTTTAAAAAATGGATTAAAATTCTCGATACATACCCTGCAGAGCCAATGTCATAACTTTTCTCAGAAAAAGCCCAATCAGGCTTCCATCAGTGACACTAGCAGAGCGCTCCAGATCCCACCCCCGAAGAACTTTCTAAGGATTGGCAGCATCTGCATCTGTTCTGTCGGACACAAGCCAGTAGTCACATGTGACTGTGGAGGACTTAGGAGTGCTCTTAAAACGGAACAGAATTTTAATTTAGTAAATCACACTTAATTTAAATATCCAACACGGCTAATGGCTGATGTGTTAGAAAATATGACTCTAGATGATTACCAGAGGCTGTGCCTGAGCCCCGGTGACACGCCTTAGAAAAACACCTTCAAAATGACAACTTGTAGTTAACTTCTGGTTAAATCAGCTATATGGGAAGACCAAACTCAAAACTCAACTGCTGTCGAGTCGACTCATAGCGACCCCTCCTTAGGTTTCTGAGTCAGAATTCGATTGTCCAATCTGCCTTCCAAGGAGTGGCTGGTGGGTTTGAACCACCAGCTTTCTGGTTAGCAGTCAAATGCCTTAGGCACTACGCCACCAGAGCTCCCATGGGAAGACCAGGGTACCATTATCTTTGCCCTTTCCCCTTCCCTCGCCACCTTCTCTCTCTCTCTCCTCTCCCTTCCCTTCTTTTCCTCCTCTTCCTCTTCCTCTTCTCCTCACTCCTTTCCCTCTTTCTCCTTCTCTCTCATACACATTGCATCTGTATGGTCAGTAGGGATGGGGCCTGAGGGAGGGATGTGGAAACAGTTATGATAGTGGGACATATACTTGGATGCAGTTTCCAAAGCTCCTGGGGACCCTCTCCCGGTGATGACTGGGCGCGTTCATGAATAGCAGGCACCTACCTTCCAGGGAGGCAAAAAGAAGGCCTTGAGTCACTTGGTGACATCAGCTCTACTTCCCTGGAAGCCACTGAACTCTGCCGAAGGACATCCTCACCACCTGTCACTATGTCAACTGCACCCTGCCACATGGAGATATGTATGCAGCGTAGATAGCTCCACCAGAGCTCTAGGAGTTAGAGTCTGGCCTCTGGAGAGGGCTAATTGGTCAGTAGAGAAGTTACTTCTTTCCTGTCAAACCACTGGAGACTGTAGAAAGACAAAGTTCTAAGTGAAGTTTTTGCTTTGCTCTGACTTGTTCTTTGGCTAAAGCCAAGCCTCCGCAGAGAAGTCTTCTTGTGTGATCTCTTTGTAGCTCGAACCGTCATGCTGTTTGCTCTGATCCCCATCACAACCATCCGATCAGCGATGTCCAAGCTCATAGAGGGCTCCTCTTACGGTAAGTGAAGGAGTCTCTCCGGTTGTCTGCCAGGGCTCTCTCAGAGCTGTTCAGCTTGGGGCACAGGGTCTGCAGAAGGCGTACAGTGAAGTTCCAGAAGCGGTATCAAACACATAGGGAAAACACTGGTTTCCATTCTGGGCAGAGAAGGGGAAAACAGGGTGGGAAAGACTCAGGAAGCCAGTCACTGAAAAGCCACCAAGAAAGACAGTTAACTCAGGTGTCAGGAAACCGCAGGTAGATGGAGGCAGAATTCCTGGTGAACTGAGCCACCAAGACTGAGAGGGAATCTTGGGCAGGGTGAGAGGTTCCCTAAGAGCTCCCAGAGACTCAGCTAGTGGGGAATGGGGAAGGGACACACCTTTATTACTATTATTGTAAAATCATATACCATGACACTTGCCAGTTCAGTGTTTTTCACATGTGCAATCCAGGGACGTCAGTTACGTCAGTCGTGCTGTAGTGCGCACCTTAAAAACGTCTGTCCCTTCTACAGGAAAGGTGTTCGTCATGCTGCAGCTGTCTCTGGCTCTGACTGGGGTGGTGACGTCCGTAGTGTATAATGAGATCTATCAGCTCTCCATGGAAAAGTTCGTAGGCACCTGCTTTGTTCTCTCCTCCTTTCTCTCCTTCCTGGCCATCGCCCCTATTGGGTAAGTTGGGAGCAGTGTTTGGACTGGGCCCTTGGTGCTGCGGTCAGGACTGTGGGCCATCCCACCACAAGAAAGGATTCTCTGTTTCAGTTTTTATGCAGTGGGTTCCAAGGAGGCGCTCTCATGAAGACAAGCTCTCCCTGTTGCCCTGAAATGAATAATGTGGCAAACTGAAGTCTCCCAAAGCACAAGTAGTGAACAGAAGTCCCCAACATGTTGGCTCATTTCTGGGTTGTGTTGTAATAGCAATTTATTTATAGGAGCTCTTCTACTTCCTTGTAATCAGAGGCAACTCTCTCGAAGCACTCAGATCTTGCTGGTTTAACTTCTTTAGATGAGAGTCATCCTGCCTCCCTTCCAAGGGCTCTTTCTTCTCTATACCCTCAGAGGACGTGGCACTTGGCAACCTCTGCTCAGTGCCACTGAGAACTCTTGACCACTGGCTGGTGTGAGTTTCTCGAAGGGCCTTTGGCAATGCCCTTGACTTCCCTGGGCCTCATCCATCTCGTTTGTAAAAGAAGAGCCTTCAAGTCTGGGAGGTAACACATAGGAGGAAGGCTGGAGAGCCTAAAGAGAGGGCTCCCCCAGGAATGGGAGAGCGTTAGCCTAGCTCATCCACAAAACTGGGACCTGGGAGAGTCTGCTCATTGCCCCACTCTGGACCAACCCTGTCCAACAGGGATGTAATACAAACCCCAGATGTGAGTCACTAAGTGATTTTCAATTTGCGAGTCACCACATTAAAAAAAAAGTTAAAGTGACAGGTGGAATTAATTTTAATAACATATTTGACTTAACCCAATGTATATCATGGGAGCTCTAGTGGTACAGTGCCAAAGGCATCTGACTGCTAACCAGAAAGCTGGTGGTTCAAACCCACCAGCCACTCCCCAGAAGGAAGGTTGGACAATCTACTTCCATTGTGATATCGCCTTGGAAACCCAAGGAGGGGTCGCTATGAGTCAGACATGACTCGACAGCAGTGGGTAATGTATATTGTTTCAACACGTAATCAATTTTAAAAATTATCCATGAGCAATTTTATATGTTCTTTCTCTTTTTTTTTTGGCACTAAGTCTTCAAAGTCTGGCATGTGTTTTATTTTTACAGCATCTCTGAGTTCTAACTCCCCACACTTCAAATGTTCAGGAGGCACACGTGGGTACCATAATCGGTGGCATTTTGGACTGTTTACATCCATTTACTCCTACCCCTTAACTGAGAGTCTCTCATGCTGGTATCAGTCCCCCCCAAAGAGAAAGGAGTATGATAAATCTATCCACAATAAGGTACAAGAGATTGGATGTAGATTTGTATTTTAAGGAGGTCTGTCGAGAAGCAGATGAGAGCTTTACATACTAGTAATGGCGATGTCAGAGGCAGAGCGTGGCAACTATTTGAGAGCAGGTTGGAAGGGGCAGGACGTGGATGCTGAGAGGGACCTTTTTGGAATTCTCACATCACATCATAAAATAGGTCTCTGTTTATAGAGAAGGTTGAGCCTCTTAGGACTTTATTTCATACTTGAGAAAAATATGATATGAAGCTCAAACAGCTGAGGGGACCTGTGCATGGAGCAGGCATGATTGCCCACGCCCTCCTGGCTGAGGTGTGGCACTGAGCTGCACCTGGCCTTCAACTGCCCACTAACTCTTAGCCCTTATGCGCTTCTGTTTTCATCCAAGCACTAATTGAATGGGATAGGCTTGGCTGGAACTAGTTTGGAATGAGAATGAGAACTTCTTAGCAGCCTCAGCCTTTTGGCTAAGTGAGTAATGAATGAGTAGTTTTGCTGTTTGAAAGTTCTCCGGTCATATTGATTAGCAGTTGGCTGAAGCATTCTCTTTAACGTAAACAAACAAACATACACATACACACAAGCAACTTTTACTTGTTAATGTGTTTTATAGCTAAAGATAATCACAGACAAATGCAAAGTCAATGCCTGGTTCCTCTCTGCAGTTTCATCTCCTTCGTGTGTATGTGTCATCCAGTGAAACAGGGTAGGCTTTTTTGAACAACCTTCTATCACAGATGCAGGGACTGAATCTTGAACCAATCAGTTAAACAACTGACTGCCTATGTGGAAGAGGCACTTACCGATTTCTGATTGTTGCCCTCTGCTGTAGTCATTGAGTAGTAGAGGGGCACGTGTGCCCACAAAGCCTGGCTTTCTCCACATTTCAGTCAACTGAGAGCTGCGAACATTACTGGTGCCCGGATACCACCCCAGAGTTCTGATTCCATTCACTTGGACAGCAGCCTGAACGTGGGAGTTCTCAAAGCTCAGGCTATCCTCAGTGCACCCAAGACTAAGAACTGCTGATGTAAAGGCAGCGCTTCCATTACTTTTCCCTTCCACAGAGTCACTAAATAAGTGAGGTCCTGAAGCATGCTTCCAGCTAGACAAGGGCAAGGCTCCATCATCCATCATGAAGTGAGAGTAACAATAAAGACTACTATAAAGTTCTACCTGCAGAAACAAAAGCCACATTCCAGCACATGAAAGCCCAGGGAAGTCCGTCAGAGCTCAGAGCAGAGGAGCAGAGGTGGGTAGGAGGCCAGGCCAGCTCACAGTCTGCGCCCTCTTCCTTGACGCCAGAAGTGGCCCCTGGAACAGAGCTGCCAATGGCCTGTTTATAAGCCCATGGGACGTGGCCTGCCCCTGCCTGGTTCCACAGGTGTCCATTTCATGTTACTATGTTGTTGTTATGTGCCGTCGAGTCGGACCCGACTCATAGCGACCCCTCCTTGGGTTTCCGAGGCAGTATCACTACGGAAGTAGATTGCCCCATCTTCCTTCCGAGGAGTGGCTGGTGGGTTTGAACCGCCAGCCTTCTGGTTAGCAGTCAAGTGCCTTAGCCACTATGCTACCAGAGCTCCCATGTTACTATGAGGACCTGCCATTTCCTTACTTTCCAACCCAGTCATGGGATCCTCCCTTAGGTCCACCAAAGCTGTTCTCGCTGAGGCCACTGCTGACTTGTTCTGAGTGGACTCCTGACAATCCTATTCTAAGTGGTTTCTCCTCGGCCTCTAGGACTTATCACTTGCTCCTTGGGAGACCTTGCTTTCTTGGCTTTCATGAGTCCGCCCTCTCCTGGTGTTTCTCCCGCCTCCCCAATAGCTTCTTCTCCACACATCTCCAAATGTAGTAAGTCACTGGGGCCCTGTTCTGACTTATTGTCAAACTTTACATTCTCTCTCTCTAAGCAATCAAAAGGACTTTCAAACCAAGTTATCACTTACATTTCCAAAATCAGATTCTTGATGGTTTCTTAAACCCGCTCCCCTTTCAGTCTTTTCTATTTCATTAAATGGCACCACCACCCACCCAGGATGGAAGCCTGAGATGTACACTGATCTACAAATACTTTAAAGCCATGTGATGATGATTTATGGGATGAGATGAAAGGCTTTAAAGAAAAGCAGAGATGAGGCTGCCTGGGATTAGCAGAGGCTAATTTTTATCTTGAGATACAGGTAATTCCTGACTTAAGATATATTCAAGTTATGACGAACCACGCTTACGACCATCCGTTGTGGTGTTGTTTGTACATCTTATTGTTGGTGATCACACAGACCGTTTCATTGTGCTTTGCTTTACTGAGCTTTGCAGATGTGTGTTTTTTTTTTTTTTTCCAAATTGAAGGTTTGTGGCAACCTGTGTGTCAAACAAGTCTATTGGTACCATTTTTCCAACAGCATGTGCTCACTTCGCGTCTCTGTGTCAAATTTTGATAATTCTCACAATAGTTCAAACTTTTTCTTAAGGCTAATGAACACTTTGTAGTATACAGTATAGTGTAAATATGCACTGGGAAAGCAAACAATTTGTGTGACTTGCTTTATTGCAATACTGTTTGCTTTAGTGTGGTAGTCTGGAACTGAACCCACAATATCTCCAACATGTGCCTGTGTGGACACCATACAATGTTGTAGCACATAACTTGCTGTTCTCAGTCTCAGATGTTCACTTGCAGGTATTCAAAGAACAGATTTATAAAGATATTGATAATAAAAAGCAATAATGATGAAAACTTAAAAAGTATTCAACTTATGACAATGTCATTGGAACAGAACCCTGTTGTAGGTCAGAGGTGACCTGTACACATGGGAGCTGATCATCAGGCAGAAAGGAGGTAGAAAGAGCTTCCAGGAAAAGGAAAATGTGGCTGCAAAGGGCTTGAGGTACTACGGGAAACAGGGAGATGTTCAGGACTGCAGCGCTGCAGTCGTTCTGGTGGGAGAGATGCTCCCATAGGTTAGCACTCCACTAAGCATGTTCTCAGTAGAGCAGTGTGGCCATAATGGGTATAGCCGGGCAGTCTGTCAGTGATAAACAGGTAGGTAGAGATCTTCCCGACTTCAGTGGGGAGGAAAAGGAATTCCTTGCATCCCATTCCAGCTTTCCCTTGTAACTCCCTGTTGTACATTCTTCCAGCATCGTGGCCTCTAAACAAGCCCCATGGTCGCAATACGGAGACATCACAGAAAAATGAAGGTGCTGACGTGTCAGAGCTAGAAACGCCAGCAATGCCTCCTTGAAGACGAAGGGTGAGACTAGAGAACTGGAGACCAAAGCAACCCACTGCCCAAGGATGGCAAGAATGGCAGTGCCAAGAATGTTGCAGCCAGAGTCAGCCTGAGTGGGAACTGCTCTGGCTCAGGGGTTTTCTGGTGGTAGGGAAATGCACTTTCCTGGTGATGGAAGAAC